AGCTGCTCCTCAGTGGCTGGTTCCATCTACTCCCTATCCTTATCCAAAGGCCAGGTGGTCCAGGGTCAAGTTGTAGCAGGTTTCTAATTTCCTTACCAAGTTTTTTTAATGTGTATTTTTGAAATAAAAATCTAATTTTAATTGAGTCTCTTTGTAGTCTTATGAATGTAGTGCTTTCACAAATGAGGCCATGTATTTGGTGGGCTCCCAACATCACTAAATGGTTTCACCAACAGAACCTGGTTTGTGGCAATTATGTTCTGAAGCTTCAACACTTTCAGCCTAACTTTAGAAAGTCAAAATTGAATTTCCTTCATTAGGCAATGCACAGCTTAAGGCTCCAGTTTAATTTTTTACGATTTCCTTAGTCACTTGTGCCCATATCTAGCAGTCACGACTGAGAAGGATACATGATAACACTCCTAACACCCCTTGTCTAGGGACAATTTCGACACCAGTTAACCTGACATGTTTGTGTGGGGAAAAATGTGTGAGACATTATTTCCCTGGCCAGGATTTGGTCAAGCAACATCTCTAACCTCAAATATGGTCTCATTGTATAATTTCATTTACTCAGTTTCAGCAAAGAAGTTAATTAGTTTGAAATTTCCTTCAAATCTTTGAGTTGTAAAAATACAGCAGATTGGGTCTAATTAAGTTGGAATTTTAAGAAGTTTTTGAGGAAAAGATTTTTACGTGTCTATGAAAATATTTAAAAGACAAATGTGGTCCAAGCATGAAGGTACTCCATGGGATGGTCAGCTGAGTTTTATTGCAACAGGAACACAGAACAAAAGAGCCATCAGACTTGTCTCTCTGCTTCTGCTTCCCTTAAGGCCTCTTATACTGTTTAACAAACAACCAATATGTCATCTTAAAGCAAGATTTCATCGTAAGGAAATGCTGTCAAGGGAAAACCCAAAGAAATACAAGCGATATCTAAGAGTGATTGTTAGCAAATCTTATTCTGACTTTAATCATTCTATCTGCTGATAAATAGCGTGCCATGAAAACCAAGGTCATTAAATCATGAATTTCTGGCTTAAACCTAAATGTACTATTTCTGTTACAGTGTATTTGCTCCAAGGTGATTTTTCCTCTTAGAAACCAGTTCTCCTGTCTTAGAAAAAAGTCTTTAAGAGGGTATAGATAATGGTGAGCATAAAAAATTAAGTCAGAGTTGATAAAGGTGTGGAAATATTTTCTGGGTATTTTTCCAATATTGTAACAGGTCCTGTGTTCTGGGTGTGCTACTTTCATCCAGGTAACATTGGACTTTAATTATGGAATTGGTTGTCTAATCTTGTCTTCTTGTTCTTTTCAACCTTCAAATGTAGAGGTTTCCAGAGATTGTAACACATATTTTAGAAATAAATCTTTGTATATAATTTGACACAGCTATTTTGACTTGTTAATCCAATGTTTGCTTTGTTGCCCTATTTGGATATGATTTGCTCCAATGTCAGACATACTGTAAGCAGTGGGAAAGATAAGTAAGACTCATTGTGATATTATGGGGCACATAAAACTTAACACTAATACAGGAAAATGCACATTGTGAATACAATAGAACATGTCCTCTCAAATACACAGTGGTGGACAAAGTTCTCAATTTTGTTACTTCCACCTGGAAATGTTGCTGCCATTCTGCACTATTTGGTTATCTTGTTACTGTTTGTATGATAAAAAGGAAGTTTGTTTACTTGAAAAGGCACAAAGTGGTGATATACTGTATCTGAGCTGGAAAGAAAGACAAAGGGACAGATTTGTGATTGCCTTTACTTGTTTTAGATAATATTGAGAGCAAAAGTTATATAATGTAGAAGTATTAATAATGTTCACAACTGTATAATATTTGAACTGGACATATTTCAAGGTTACAAAGAAATTTTCTTTAACTTTTTTCAATACTTTCTTTTTTCAATTGTGTTGAAATGAGTTTATTGTCAATACAGACTGTTATTACATTTTTATTGACTGGTTTGACGCAGCCGTCAACTCAAAAAACACATTTTCAAAACAGTTAACACAGAGGCCTAAAGAGTGACACAGTGGTCAAAATGACACAATTTGTTTGCAAAAGGCAACAACTGTGTAAAAAACATTTAAAATATGGAACAAAAGCAAACGTTGCCTTCAAACAACTCAATTTTGACACAGTGTATGAGCACCTCCAAACAACCAGTACACAATAGGAGACAAAATACAAAATACAGCACTCATGTGTGAATCAGTGCATCATTGCTTGTCATTGTAGCCCATGACTGTAAGTAGCTTACATGCCCGTGCTGTTTGTAGTCAAATTTGCCCTCTTGCAAAAATGCATTCAGAACCAGATATGGTTTGATGCAAATTTTATTGATAACACTTCTTTCAGACTGTGCTTGAAAAATGAAATACAATTTTTCTGACTGCTTTGACCTGTTTGAAGAAACTCATCATCACCATCTCAAAAACAATCAATAAAAACTCTATTCCAACAGAGGACACATGGAAATAAAAATAAAATCCTTAACTGTGTGAGAAATTAGGTAAATAAAACACAGTCTTTTACAGTAAAGAACAAAAATCTATAGTGGGCCTTTAGATTAGACCTTTATTGTCATCGTACAGAGCACAATGAAATTACAGTTCAGAACACCCATTCAGAAGGAAACAGAACATAACAAACATAGGAGAACAGGTACTCTGGGTCATGCTCCTGACCCTGCACAGAGCAAGGATCATCTTCATGAAGACATCCTGAGGAGGCGCAACCTTCCTTAAAACACTAAAAACCACACAAGGACAGATGAGGAAAAAAAAACAAACAAAAAAACCATAACGTTCCTATAAAAGTACAAGAGAACAACACATGCCTGCAGACTGATAGCGAATTGAAAAATTCTGTGA